TTATGCTTGTTTTTAATGCATTAAAGTGTTATTGTGAGGGTAAGACTTAGGGGTTGGAAGAAGTTAATAAATACTAAGGTTTTTTTTTTTTAAATCAAAAAATCAAGAAATTTTGATTGGAAGATTGGAACTCTCACAAAACTTGGGGTTAAAAATCCTCTTTTGCTTAATATATAGTATAGATATATGCACACATTTGATTATATATATATAGTATAGATACTATTTATTGTGTTTGGTTTCAATTTTTTGGATACAATTTTTTAAAAATTGAGTTTTTTTTTTTAGTAAATATTTTTAAAATTTTCAACATTTTTTTTTTACTTTTTTAGATGCACTTTACTTGGATGTATCTAAAAAGTAAAATATTTATTAAAAAAAATTATTTTAAAAAATTAATAAATATACAAGAATACGCAAAGTGTTTTGAATTTTTATATATTTTGATATTTAGTGAATATTCTAAAGATTTTTTTCACAGATATTATATTTTTTAAGTGTATTTATGTTAGGTATATCTAAAAATTAAAAAAAAAAATTCTTAGAATATATGAAAAAAAAAAAACAAAATTTTAATTTTCTTAAAAGTAAATCCTAAAAATAGGAACCAAACAAGCAAATCTCTTAGACAACATACATATTATAATACTAATTTTTTATTATTTATTTGTATTCTTAGTTATCTGAATTACACACTCATCAAGTGTGTCACCCGCTAATTTCATTTATAAATTGACACTTAATAGTTTGTTTCGTAAAATTTTAATATAAAAGTATTTAGTCTCATAATTTTAATCAATAAGTACTTATTTAGGCCTAATTTGAAAACTTGGTTAAAAGTTAATTTTTAACTTTTAACCTATTTTGAGTCACATCACTTCTCCATTTATTTACATATTTTTTCAAAAAAAAAAGGTAAAAAAATCAACTTTTAATCAATTTCTCAAAACAACCAGTGTATACATAAGCTTGATCAAAGAGTATTGAATAATTTCCAGAGTAGGATAGGTGCTTTACATCAACCACATTAAGCCTTTATTTGGCATGCCAAAACGCTAGGTTTTTTGGCTATTTTAATCACAAAAAACAAAATAGACTATAAAGTTAATAAGATAAAATGTCACATTCAAATCATAATTATTTCATTTTTTCTCTCACAAAAGTCAAAAAATCAAAAAACCTATTCCAAACGAAACTTTTTAATCCCAAGTTAAAATAGCCAAAAAGCCAACTCACATCCCAAACCAATCCCTCCCTTCAAAAGAAATTATTTCATACTATTGAAGTAATACTTCCATTTCAGTTATTGTTCGAGACATTGCACATTATCTCCTAGAACTCAAATAAAAAAAGTAATGAGTTCTACGATATAGATCAGTAGTTATTAACTTGAAATACCACTTAAACTTACTCTAAAAGTATTAAATAATTTCGCCTTATGAGAAATCTTTCGCCATGGAGCATCTTTTGAACTATTGGTCAATTACGTGGATAATGAATGGTCTAAGATTGCGATGACTGACTTCATTATTATTATTATTGTTTATTTATTTTTGAGAAAATGATTAAGGAAATAAGAAAAATTGAAAGTTGCATCAAGTAACAATTGAGAGTTGAGCACAGACATTAGCACAAGATAAGAGATCACCTCAACTCTTACAATAGACTTCTTTCTAATGCACCTTGTTATCCTAAGTTGTGATTTTGGTTACTTCTAAAATCCTAGGTTGTTGAACAATTCTGATTTTGTTCACCCAATCTATAAAATTCCCTTTTGATTGGTTATTAGAGTCGATACAGTAAACTAATTTTGAAAGAACCAAACAAAACAGAATGAATTGGGTGTAACAAAAATATTTTGTCTTGAACCCATCGGGAGTTGCAGTATAGGGTGAGGCTTCATATGGCATTATATGGTTTTGAATAAAATGTCATTGTCACACATTATGGCCACTTTTATTTTATTCTAAGTAGTAAAACATGTATAGATCTCACTGTAAATATTAATAATCAATTTGTTTATCACATAGTCTCTCCATCGAAGAGAGATTTTTTTGCTTTTTTCTTTTGGTTTCTCCATGGTAGAGAATTATAAATAATTAAAAAGAAGGATAAGTATGAGGGTTTAAATTGACAACTGGTGAATGCAAATATAATCTTGTAAAGTTTATTAGGCTAATTATATCAAAACCTTTTCAACTATTAACGAATATCACTTTACTTTTATCATTCATAAACTTGCTGTACACATTGAACTCTCAACTTTAAAAATTGCTTTAAAAATTGTACAAATGCATCCTTTTTTAAGATAGCCTAGAGAGTTGAAAGTGATATATTTTCATAATTAAACAGTTCAAAATGTACGAATTCATAATTAAGAATGATAAATTGATACTCACTTATAGTTGAGGAGTTGGTGTAATTAACTCTAGCTTATTTTAGCTAATGGATGTCACTGTTACTAATAGTTGAGGGCTCCATTTTTAACTTGACTCAAGCCTGTGAGAAAAGAAGCCAATGTCTTATATACACAGAAGATAAGTCCAAGAATTGCTTAAGACTAGCCCAGATTCAAGCCCAAACCACGAGAACAAAAGAGTTAAAATGGAAGCAAACTAGACCAATTCCCAGTTTTGGATTATCATAGCTTGGACCAACCCAGTTAGGCCCAATTCTAGGATGAATAGTGGACATGGAACCCAACCAACTTACCAAGTGTGTTTATTTGTTAATATTAATGTTTATTTGTAGCTGCTAGACATTGTCTTAAGAACAGTAGGCTCTAAAACCTTCAATTTTTTATCATGAACCCAAAAAATATCAGATGAAATCCTTTAATATTAGAATAACAAAATTTTGATATGTATCATTTGTCCGTATTAAACCCTAGAATATTTAATTTAAATTCTCTATTACAATTGACACTGCTGAAATGAAAAGTTGCATTTCAATACATGAGATTACAAAAGCCTCTTATTTCTTAACTTCAACATTTCTTTTTTCTTTTTTGAATAGTGAAAAAGATGTTCTGAAGTATTATCACTGTATTCGTAGGCTCGGGCTCCGAGATAACCCAGCCTGATTTAATCCAATCCATAAAAAGGGACACACCAACAAAGCACCAGCGGAGCTCAACCATACACCACAGACAAGTGTATGATTTGATCAGTGTACAGAGCGAGATCTCCGCAGAGAACCACAGGAATTACCCAATATTTCACTCCTCCAAGAGTCGAACCTGGGTCACGCCTGTGGAGAAGGATGCCTTTTCCACTAGCCCACCACCCTCGGTGATAACTTTAACATATCTTCTACTCATGCAAAACCCTAACCCATTTTCTCAATGATGGCTCTAAATCATTTTTGAATAATACAATTTCATTCAATCATACAACAAATTAACAATACCAATAAATCAATGAGCATAATCAATTCACCTCTCAACTCAACTAGTCAAATTGCGAGAGTACGAAATGTTATAAGTTGGTAACCAATCATCCCCCAAAATAAAATTCCCAACACTAAACTGACTAGCCTCAGTGGAATTGCTTATAACCTTATAACCTGGCCAGGTCACTCTGTCACTTGTGTTTGAACCCGGACCCTTATTCTTGTACTCCCCGTAATAAAGCGTCGACAATGCAAAATTACCGGACCATTCCAACCATCCGGCAGGGTCAACCAAATCGCCGATATTCGACAGAAGATAAACAGTCCTCGAATACTGCTTCCAGGGTCGGCCAAGGTATGTTTTAAACGATGATTGCACAGGAATTAAATCCAATGCAGCGGCAATTTTGCAACTTATGATTGAAATCCCTGTGGTTTGAAATGGGTCATCTCTTCCTTGAGCGGTGATAATGTTTTTTTGGTTATCGTCTGGCTTGCGAGCGTATAAATTGCAGTTCTGGAAAACAACAGCGGCGTTTCCAAAAATGAAGTCGACGGTTCCATATATGTCACAATCGCGGTAGAATTGTCGGAGGGAGTGGACGTAGAGAGTGTCTTGGTAGCCTATGAAGCTGCACTGGAAGAATGCTGAGAAGTCTGAGCCCGACCGAAAAGCCACTGCTTGGTGTTTGCTTGGACCGGCATAGTTTTCGAATGTGATCCCTTTGGCTATAAAGCCATTTCCCACCACAGCTGCAATTCATGAAGGACAAGGCTTCAGTTTGAGAATCCAATTGGAAAAAAACAAGGCAAATATTTCTAAAAAAAATATTAATTATAATTTTATTAACATTAATAATTATAATTTTTTCAATAAATCTATTAATATCCCTTTAAAATTACATCGAATAATAATTTTTCTCAAAAAACATCAACAGCAGACGAATGACTTCAGTGGTACTATGAGCTACTCCGTCAATTCGTGTAAAATCTTCCTTATCCACGTACAGAATAAAAGTGATATCAAGTTCGTTAGGGTAGGACCCATTTGTTTACGAAAAATGTTTAAATCTCCTAAATCTTTCACAATTCAATTTATATGAGACCCACAATATTTGTTATATTATTATAGATATATTTATGAGTACAAAATGTAGATTTCTGACATCATTAATTTATCAATTTGAACATTCTTTCCAATTATTTGAATTTTTTCTGGGAAAAAACGAAGAAACCCAAATGGGGTTTATCAAACAACCAAACAAGATCTTAAGTCTTTTTTGTCTTCCGTTGATATTAGGGTCCCCATAAGTTTTATGCCCTGCCCAATCGGTCAATGCAATTTGAGATTTTTAAATTTCAAAGAAAACAGCCTGTAAAAATGGATTAAATTTTTGTACCCATTTAATATTTAGACTGAAATTAAATAAATAAATAAAAAATCTAACTCAACCCAACCCACCTATTTATAGAATATTAATTACAATTTTATATTATTTTAGTTATAAAATAAAGTAAAAAAAAAAATTATAATAGACACACACTCTCATATATATATATATATATATGCTTCTTTTTGGGGCTTAAAAAACATTTGTTAAAATATTATTTATTTTATCATTAAATTTTGCTGACGTCCTAATTTCAAATAATAATTAAAAGATAAGAATAAAAAACTAATACCTCATACCTATTGTTAAAGTGGGCGAGCTTAGAATTTGAATACATAAAATTAATACTTCATTCCTTATATCGTAGGTTGGTTAAATTAAGACTCATGTAGGATCAGACCAGACTTAGAATGACACATATTTTCTTATAATATTATGATCAAATTATTATCTCATATATCAAGATATCATTAATAATAAATATGAATAATAAGACTCATTAAATAAAAATAGTGACGAGAATGTTCAATCAATTTAATTTATTTTATACATGAAATATTTAACGAATTTTACAATAAAAATAATTTGAATGATCAAAATAAGAGATTGTTTAGAATGATTTAAATAAGTTTATTTTTTAACTTTTTATAAAAAAATATACAATGTAATAAAAAGATAATATAACCTTAATAAAAGATAATATAACTCCAATAAAATAAAATAAAAATATACTAAACTAACACACGCCAAATAACTCTTAAATTCAAAAAAATACATACATGATGTGGCAAGCAATCTCCAATTTGGAATTTGAGTTGATCTTGTGACTTTTTAATTATTTTATTAAGATTAAAAAGTTTCGTTTGGAATAGATTTTTTGACTTTTTTAACTTTTATGAGAGAAAAAATAAAACATTTATAGTTTAGATGTGACATTTTGTCTTATTGAATTAAAAAATCTATTTTATATTTTTATAACTATTTTAGACAAAAACTCTCATTTTAACTTGGCTAAGAGGTGTTTTGGTAACTTCCACAAAAGTTAACTTTCTGACTTTTTAACTTTTTTATATAACAAAAGCACAAAAAAATCAATTTTTTTAACACAAAAAACTAAAAATTCACAAAAAAAAAAACCAAAAAATTAATTTTTTACCAATTTTTCAAAACACCAGTGTACTTAGGGATGTTTTGAAAAGTTTGTAAAAAACTGGTTTTTAACTTTTTAAATTAATATTTGTTTATACTGTCAAATCAAATTAAAATGACCAAAATATCCTTACCCAACATAAGAAATTTATTTTTTTATTTTTTTGTCATAGGTCCTAATTTGTAATTTTACATTTGCATTTTTGACATTTCTCAAACTAATTTTATTGCGTTTTTGACACTTGTATTTTTAGATATTTTGTCTAAAAACATGATTTTTATTTTGTTTCCAAAAAGGCACTTAATTGTGAATGACGCTTTAAGCTCAACCGACGCAGGCTACAGACAAAAGTTCGGACAATGACATTAAAATAATCTATCACGCGTTCTGATTACTATTACAAACACTCGGTTTTCTTTGTCCCAAAAATAACAAAAAAACAAAAACAGCTGATTGTTACTGCTCCGAATAAAATTTTACCGTTAATTTTTAGCTTTCATGAATAAAGAATATGTTAGATCAAATGCTAAACGCGGTGGGTTATGTATTTAGATCATCCCCTTACATCATTGAATTTAACATTTTATCCTAAACTTCATAAATTTAAAATAAAAATATGTTGAATTTTGATTATTTCACAACAACATGCATTGTCTAAAGCTCCATCTTTATAAAGGAAAATCAATTTAGGATTCGTATGGCATTGACTTTTTTAGTCAATTTTTTTGTGTTAGGACTTTTTTAATCTGATTTTTTTAGTCTCGTTTGATTTTTGTTTTGGGATTTTTTTTTATTTTTGTGAGAGAAAAAGTATAATAATTATGGATAAAAATGAATATTTTGTCTTATTGGCTTTTATAGTCAATTTTGTCTTTTTGGGATTATTTAGCTCCAATACAAATGCCAAACCAGAGCTTATTAACAAATTACAACATTTTAATTGGTTAAAAATAATGAATTCCTATTCAAACAGTGTATCAACTCTATTTAAATTTGTAGACATTATTATATTAAGGGGGAAATACATATTAGTGGAAGTTTGAAAAAATTATTACAAATTGATAAAAAAAAAATTAAAAAAATTAGTCATTAATATTTACAAAATTTACCATTAATTTATAATAATCCTATCAAAATTTCACTGACATGTATTTTCTCTTTATATTAAACCAATATGGATTCTTCAAAAAGTTATTAGCTGAATCTTGATTATTCAGACCAACCATAACAAAAAAGTTGTTGTTGTTGTTTTTTTTTTTTAAAAAAAGATAATGTCACCTAAAAAAGTTCAAAAAATTAAAGTTGTCAAAATGGGCCTAACAAGGACTGCCATTCGAGTAAGGTTAACTTATGGGTGTAAATTTGGTCTAGGCAGCCAATGTCGGGTAGCCCAGGCTCCTGCCAAAATTTAGGTCAGTCCGAGCCACGGATTAGAAAATTAGGTCCAATTCTAGGTCCAGAGAGTATTCGGGCCCTGGGCGGATCGGGTCGGCAAGCCTAGATCTAAGCTCAGGCTTGGGCCAGGCCTAGGTGAGCTTGCACATTTTTTTCTATTTTTTTTTATCAAAATTTTATTTATTTTTTACTAAAAATGACACTGGGTCTCGGGCAGACCAAACCTTAGGCCGAGCTTTGAGCGGGCCTTGAACAGGCCCACAGGCCAGGCCAAGCTTCATTATAATGATCCAGGCCCAGGGTTTCGGGCTAAGCTCAGGCCCAAACCTAACTGAGCTGAGCCCATCCCGAACTGCAGGCAGACTTCAAACTGTCCACGAGCACCGAGCCAAATTTATGAGGCGTACTTAAAATTTAAAAACAAGGTTTAAAGTACTCACCAAAACCCCTTCTAAATAAAAACAAAAACAAAACAAAAAAGTACTCACCAAATGTAGCCGACCGGAAAGTGGTCCACCCATCAACAACATTTCGATTATCCTTCACCAACGTTTTTCCGATCCCATCTCCAACCAACATCAACTTCGTCTTCTTTCGCTCCACCTCCACATTCTCATAATATGCCCCGCCCTTCACATATATCACAAACCTCGTCTCGCTTGAGTTTGGCGCTGCTGCCACAGCCTCTCCAATCGTTGTAAAATTCCCGCTTCCATCCTTCGCCACCACCAAATTGTACCTATTGGTGCAAAAATGAAAAATATGATGAAAATAAATAAAAATAAAAAACTTCAAACCAACTTATAATGTCCTTTTTTTAAAACAATATTCGCCCGGCCAATTTTTTTCTTTTGAATCTAATGAACATCGGGTTAGTCCCAAATCTATTTTCATAATACAATGGTTTGTCTTAATTTACCACATAGCCAAAGTATATATTTCACGATAAATTATACTTATAATGTTTAAAAAATAAGAATGATTTATTTTTAGTTGAAATTTCAATTCGATCAAACATTAAAATCTTTGATACATAAGAGTCATTAAAAGGAATTTTTCAACTGGTAAGAATTTTAAAAAATATTTAACTCAATCATGTTTTCATAAATTCTTACTAATAAAAGTCTTCCGTTTAATAACTTTTACCAATTAGAAATCTCAACTATCTTGTCCAATTTAACTTTCAACTAGAAAAACAAGCCAAATCCTTAAAAAATATATAATAAACTTTATAATTTTGACAAAATTACATTGATCTCTCTTTTTTAATAAGTATTAAAAAATCACAACTAAAAAACTTGTTTTCATTTTTCAGAAAACACTTTTCAGAAAATTTTACTTTCTTATTTTTCATATTTTTTTGTTTTGACTGAATTTTTTTAATATTTTAAGCAATTTTTTACTTTTTAGACACACCTACAAAAATATATAATAAACTTTATAATTTTGACAAAATTACATTGATCTCTCTTTTTTAATAAGTATTAAAAAATCACAACTAAAAAACTTGTTTTCATTTTTCAGAAAACACTTTTCAGAAAATTTTACTTTCTTATTTTTCATATTTTTTTTGTTTTGACTGAATTTTTTTAATATTTTAAGCAATTTTTTACTTTTTAGACACACCTACCATAAATACACCTAAAAAATAAAATAAAAAATTTAAAAATTCACTAAATACCAAAAATACAAAAAAAAAATACAAGAATTCAATATATTTTTTGTATTTTTATGTATTTATTAATTTTTTAAAATATTTAGATACATCTAACTAAGGTACATTTAAAAAAACAAAAAAAAATATTTAAAATTTAAAAAATATTCACTAAAAACAAAAGAATACGAAAACTAAAAAATTCAGTTTTCAAAAAACTTAATCCAAAATAAAAATAAAAAAATAAAAAAAATTAATTTTTAAAAAATTTAATCTACAAAACTCAAACAAAACATATTGATTATATTTTTTTTTAAATCGTAACAAAAACACTCCCTCCATCCGAAAAGTAATTTACATAATATATTTAAATATAATGTAATGTTACAACAATACCGAGTTTGATTCACCGCGGCCTGCAACAACCTCCGGTCCTTCCTCGAAACCCACGTCGGAAACCCACCCCTCTGTTGAATTGGCTACAGATTCTAGAGGTCACCCCATGTGAAAGGGGTGATCCTCATGTCAACAATGGAAGGCCACCAACCTCATGTCAACAATGGAAGGCCACCAACCATGTCAAAAGTCAAAGAATGAGGGCTCTCCCACCTACTCCTTTGTGTATAAATAGAGACGGGAGGGAGAGGATATAGACATGAGATGTGGAGCTGAGAGGTGTGAGTTGAGAGCAAAGAGAGAGAGAATTACAGAGAGTGTTGTAATTCACCATTTTGTTCAATATAGTGAATCCGCTGCCCGTGGACGTAGGCGAGTTGCCGAACCACGTTAAAACTTGTGTGTTATTGCTTGTTTGAGTTCCCTGGTGTGCCCCCGATCCTCAACACCCTCACCTTCCCATACTCCGGGAACACCTCTCCGCCGCCGTGCGCCGCCGCATTCGCCGCCGGAATCTTCCTCAGCATCGCCAGAGCATTACTGACATGATGAGATATCTTATCTAACCTATCTTCAATATACGGACGCACATTCCCTTTGCTGTAAGCAAACCCATCAAGACAAGTGTACTGGTTCGTCATCGCACCGCTCAGCAATGTCTGCAAATCACGAAAATGCTTTGACGTCGTTTTATTAGCAGAGAGATCGGCGATCACGGTCTTGAGCTCGGCGATTGTGTTGTCCAAGAGCTCGATACAGTCATCGAGAGCTTGCTTATCGAGTGGGGCTAGCTCAGGGATTGTTCTGAGAATGCCAGAGCAGTTCGATTCGGAGGCTCGGACCTCCGTGACGGAGTGATTAACGGTGGCGGCAATGATTTGAGGGAGCGATTTGAGGAGGAGATCTGGGAATGTGGAGATTGTGGAGACACAGAGGTCTGGATAGAGAGTTCCATCGCAAGTTGTGTTAGCAATTTGGGTGTGTATAAGAGAGGTTATTGTTGGTTTGGGTTTTGGGATTTTGATGAGAGGGGTTTGGGAAGAGAGTGTGAGAAAGACAATGGCCGAAATGGTTGGTAAAGTGAGGAAGATGATGATGATACAGAGTGGGTTTGGTCTCTGTGAAAGCCTATGATGATACATTATTGTGAGGAAGTGCAGTGAGACAGAGGTCTATGTGGAGTCCAGATCCCCTCCTTGAGGCCCCTCTTTCATTCCCTCCTTGCAGGGGCCTTCGGGTCCACTTTGAGGCCTAGTTTTGATATGATGAATTCAATGCTCTGTTTTGGGAATAAATTCTTTTTTATAATGCCTTCGTTTGAGGTTGAGGTTGGGTTTTTAAGTTTTTGATTTTTGAGTAAAGTCTTGAATGGATTTTTTTGATATTTTTAACTAATAAAATTATTATAATTTGGTTCTATATTTTATTTTATTAGATTTTTAAGTTTATTTTATTTTTGAATAAATTATAAATATATTTTTTGAGATTTGCTTGAAATACAAATTCTAAAATTGGGACTACAAACTATTTTTTAATAAACAGTTTTCCGAACACATACTTTATGATATTCGATCAACTTGATTTTTTACAGGTATAATATACTGAATAAATCTAAAAATATGAACGGTTCGAATTATCAAAAATGGGCCTCAAAGTGGACCCGAAAACCCCTACAAGGAGGGAATGAAGGAGGGGCCTCAAGGGGAGGATCCCAATTCGTCTATGTGTGTGTTCCAATGATGAATTCAATGCTCTGTTTTGGGAATAAATTCTTTTTTATAATGCCTTCGTTTGAGGTTGAGGTTGGGTTTTTAAGTTTTTGATTTTTGAGTAAAGTCTTGAATGGATTTTTTTGATTTTTTTAACGAATAAAATTATTATAATTTGGTTCTATATTTTATTTTATTAGATTTTTAAGTTTATTTTATTTTTGGATAAATTATAAATATATTTCTTGAGATTTGCTTGAAATACAAATTCTCCTTGTACCCCTTATTAAAAAATTTTATTTAACAAAATTAATTAAAAAAATAACATTTATTATTGATCTCCTATACAATAATAAAATTACTTAAATTATTAATTAAAATATATTTTTAATATCATTAAAAATTGTTAATTAACTTGATAATTTATTAATAAAAATGACGATTTGTTATGAAATTAGAAACTTCTAGGTGTGGAATATAATTTTCAAAACTATAGAAAATAATTTGTATTTTAATCAAATCTTAAAGAATATATTTATAATTTATCTTTCATTTTTTTTTCTTCTCTATTTTATCCTAAAAAATTTATGTGAAACCTAACCAATATGTGGTTGTAAATTACGAGTTAAAAATATTTAAAACTTACACGTAAATGGACAGTTTTAGTGTAATTTTTTTTGTGACGTGGTTTAACCTTATGAAATGAAATATCTTTTAAAATTCACATTGCTTGGCTCTTCTTTTCTAAAAATATTTTTCAAAAAATTTTAATTTCTTATTTTTCATTTTTTAATTAAATTTTTTGAATATTTTAAGCATTTTTTTTACTTTTTAGACATATTTAACATAAATATACCTAAAAAATAAAAAAAAATGTGAAAAAAGCCTTTTAAAAATTCACTAAATATCAAAAATACAAAAAAAAAATATATAAGAATTCAGTACATTTTTTTATATTTTATGTATTTATTAATTTTTTAAAATATTTTTTCACAAATTTTTTACTTTTTAAATACATCTAAGTAAGGTGTATCTAAAAAAATAAAAAATAAAAATATTTAAAATTTTAAAAATATTCACTAAAAACAAAAAATAAAAAAACACAAAAACTAAAAAACTCAGGCTCCGTTTGGTAAGCCTCTCAAAATATAATTCTACCCATTGATTTGAGTGTGTTATTTTTTGAAGCTTTCAAATCATAATTCTATACCCATTTCTCAAAACTCAATTCAAAACATAATCATTACTTTTTAAAATTCATAACCTTTTTCAATATTTATTTTAATTTTTTACTTATTAAATTTTTTAGATTATTTAAATTATTTAAATATTTATGATTTAATTTTTTTGAATATTTATTTTGAAAAAAAATTATTTCCTTTGTAGTATTTTCAATTAAAAAATTGATTAATGTTATTTTCTGTTAGCAATAATTTTTTTTAATTAAATTTTTAAAAGAGTTTGGTTATGAGTGTTGTTCAGAATTTTTAATAGTGTGAAAATAATGTGTTTTGTTATGCGTTATAATAATTTGAATTAAGTTTTGAAAACTTTTTCCCAAACTCATAACCAAACAAATTTTCTTACTTCAAGTTCACATATCAAATCAAACTTTCAAAATTCAATTCCACACTCAATTCAAAACTCAATTCAACACTCTATTCAAAAATCATAACCAAACAAATTTTTTACATTTAAATTATAATTTTACAACTCACAAACTCAAAATATAACTCATATTCTCAAATCATATTTACAAAACTCTACCAAACGTAACCTCAATTTTCAAAAAACTTAATTCAAAAAACTCAAATCAAACACTTTTTTTTTTTTTAATCTACGAAACAAATAGGATAGTGGTGCAAATTTTTTTAAAGCCTTGGGCTTTGTTTGGCAATAGATTTTTTGGTTAAATTAATTATAAAAAGATAAAATATGTTAAAAAATTAATAAGACAAAATATTATATCTAAATAATAATCATTTTACTTTTTCTCTCATAAAAGTCAAAAAGTCAATCCAAACAAATTTTTTATCCTAAGTTAAAATACATAAAAAGTTAATTAAAATGACTTATTATCAAACGACAACTTAAACTAATATCAAATGATGAGGTTTTTATCTAACTAAATTTTTTAAAGTTAAGGCCTCAACATATGTTTGAAATGTTCTAAATAAGTATATTTTTTGACATTTTATAATAAAAAAAATGTGTAGAAAAATAGAGAAAATATATAAAAAAGTAGAGAGAAGATGTTGATAGATGTAATCCAAATAAATGTATGTATACAAAAAAATATACTTTTTTAGTGCATGCCAAACAAGCACTAAGCTTTCGTTTAGGATGTGGGTTTGTTTTTCGATTTTTTGACTATTTTAACCTAACGTTAAAAAATTTCATTTTAGATAGACTTTTTGGTTTTTTTAACTTTTATGAGAAAAAATAAAATGGGAAGTGGTTTTGTGGGGTTTTTTGGCTATTTTGGCCACAAAAGACAAAATAAGTTATTTCAGTCACAACAAACAAAACATCACATCCAACTCATAATCATTACACTCTTCTCTCACAAAAAGAGTCAAAAATACCAAAAAACTCTTCCCAAATCAAACTTTTTAGTCCAGACTAAAATAGTCAAAAAAGTCAAAAAGTCAACTCACTTCCCAAACTAACCCTGATTATGATTTAAATGTTATATTTTATCTCTGTTTGGGAAGCAAATTTTGGGTTAAAATAGCCATATAACACAAAATAGGCTATTTTAGCCTAATAAGACAAAATATCACATCTAATTCATAATCATTACATTCTTTCTCTTACAAAAAAAGTCAAAAAAGCCAAAAGCCTTTCTCAAACCAGGCTTTTTAACCTCAGACTAAAATAACCAAAAAAGTCAAAAAGCCAACCACTTCCCAAACGAAGGCTTTATTGAGTTAAAAAGTTTATTTTATCTTTTTAATGACTATTTTAATCCAAACATGGCATGTCAAACAAAGCTTAAATATTTTTTAAAAAACAATTTGTAAGCCCTAGACGAGAGTCTAGCTAATCTCATGATGAAGCTACCTTTGGATAGGATTGGGAAATGGATTGACTTTTTAGTTTTTTGGATTTTTTAACTATTTTAGTCTGGGCTAAAAAACTTAGTTTGGGAAAGACTTTTTGACTTTTTTGTGAGAGAATAGTGTAATAATTATGGGTTGGATGTGATGTTTTGTTTGTTGTGGCTAAAATAGTATATTTTGTCTTTTGTGGCTAAAATAACCTCACATGCTCTTGCCAAACAGAGCCTGTTTGGTAAACATATTGGGACTAAATAAGCACATAAGAACAAAACAAAGTTACAAAATTACAAAATGATAAAACACCTGACTTTTGATGCAAAATTATCAAATTGACCCATATACAAACAAAAAGTCAAAAAAACATCATTTCTAAGTGGAGGGCAATTTTGTCATTCTAATGCAAAAAAACCAAATAAGAAAACGAAACGAACAAAAAAAATTCCAGACTAAAAAAGTCAAAAAAGTCAAAAGGTAAAGTTTGCCAAACGACATCTAAGTTGAACATGATTGGTTTAGCCTTCGTGTGGCAAATTGACACTACAACAAAAAGCAGATTTGACGACTAAAATTGGATTTTTCGTCGCTGAAAGTGGTAGAATTGGCGACTAAAATGGAATTAGTCGCCAAAATTGGTCACTTTTGCCGACTAAAAGAGTTTAGTCGCCGAATATAAGGGTTTTAGCGACTAAAAGGCAGTTTAGTCGCCGAATACAGAGGTTTTAGCGACTAAAAAAATTTTAGCAGCCAAAGTTTAAGGTTTTTGGCGACTAAAAACAGTTTGGTCGCCGATTCTACGTGTTTTGGCGACTAAAAACAGTTTGGTCGCTGAAAGTCAAGGTTTTTGGCTACTAAAAAAAATTAATAGCTAAAAACAGTCAATTGGCGACTAAAACTCACTTTAGTAGCCAAAAGAGGACGTTTTTGGCGACTAAAAACAGGTTTAGTCGCCAAAAGGGGACGTTTGTAGGCGGAACATATTTTTTTAGCGACTGAAAATTAATTAGTAGCCCAAAATTATAGAATTGGCGACTAAATAATTTATTTAGTCGCCAAAAGTGATCTAAATTTTTTTTTACTAATTCACTATTGGCGACTAAAACTTTAGTCGCTAAATGTATAATTTCCAAAAATGGAATTGACTATTGGCGACAAATTTTTTGGTCGCTGAAGACATGTATATTGCCGACTAACACTTTTTTAGTCGCCAAAGGTATTGGCGACCGTGTATTCGCGACAAAACCGGCGACGAAAATATTTAGACGGGGAAAGTGAAAATTTGATTTTTGGCGACTAAAAAAAGACTTTTGGCGACCAAAAATTTAGTCACCAAAGGTGTGTTTTCTTGTAGTGTGAGTTGTGTTGGGTTTGGGACTATTTTAATAATAAAAAGATAAAATAAATTTATTAACTTAATAAGACAAAATGACACATTAACTCATAATTATTACATTCTTTCTCTCACAAAAAGTCAAAAATTCTATCTCCAACGAGACTTTTTAATCGCAAGTTAAAATAACCGAAAAATTAAGAAGTCAACCCACTTTCTGGACAAACTCTTAAATGGTAAAAATCATCAATTTTATTTGTGTATTGTTTTAGAGGACAACATAATTATGCCTTCGTTTGGCAACTTGGGTTGGTTGGTTTTAGGATTATTTAGGGGTTGTCTAAGATGACCTAAATAAGTGTACTTTTTGTCTTTTTACGAAAAGATGTGCAGAAAAGTAGAGAGGTGATGTGATGGAAAAAAGATAAAAAGATAGATTATTTTACAATTGCCAAACTTGGCCTTAATCATAAAAAGATAAAATAGACTTTTTAGCTTAATAAGATAAAATGTCACTTTCAACCTATAATCATTACATTCTTTTTCTTATAAAAAATCAAAAAAATAAAAATAAAAACTATCCAAACAAAATTTTTTAATCCTAAGTTAAAATAACCAAAAAAATCAAAAATCAATCGTCTTCCCAAACCAACTATATATAAGGTCTTTATGGTTGCTTTAGAGAGTGGACCTTACAATAATAGGACTGA